ATAGTTCACATCAGTGCTTGCAGTTCCAGTGCACCGGAATGCACCCTGGAACGCACATCCCTCCTTAAATTGAAGAAAAAGAGAGGGGGAAAAAATTCAGTAACGTGGGCATCCCATGAGATGCCCCTGGTACCTTTTTCATAGGCTTTTTTGAGTTTGGCAAAGGACACAGGGGCCCCATGATCCCCTATTGCCCGGGGGCCCCACGAGTTGTCAGTCTGCCCCTGATGATGACCCTAGAATTGTTGCTCCCCCCTCCAGGGGTGGACTGACCATTTAGCCACTCAAGCACTGCTCGAGGGCCCGGGGTCAGTAAGGGGCCCCATGAGATGCCCCTGGTACCTTTCATAGGCTTTTTTGGGTGTAGTTTGAGTGTGGGCGAGGACACAAGGGCCCCATGATTTCCTATTGCCTAGGGGCCCCATGAGTTGTCAGTCCGCCCCTGTCTCACTCTGACATTCGCAGTGATACCTCGCATGTATGGTGCAAACACTAGTTCATTACGAATGCCACACCCAGGGGCGGACTGACAACTAATGGGGCCCCCGGGCAATAGGGGATCATGGTGCCCCTGTGTCCTTGCCCAAACTCAAAAAAGCCTATGAAAAAGGTACCAGGGGCATCTCATGGGGCCCCCTACTGACCCCGGGCCCTCGGTCAGTGCCCGAGTTTCCAAATGTTCAGTCCACCCCTGGCCACACCTACACGTGAGTTAGCATTTGCGTGTAAATGTATGCATGGGGGGGGGGCGCTTTAACATTTTTTACTCCTTTTTTTTTTAACTTTACTTAAATGTATTTTGTTTACACAGTTTAATATTTTTTTTTATTAAACTTTATTGCTAACACAAGGTGGGGGGGGGGGGGGGGGGGGTTAAATAAATCTTCAGGCCTAAAATGATTTTTCAAATGTGTGCAAAAACTGCTCTGGCAGTGAGTGGGTTAAATCGCTGGTGCAAGGACAGGGGCGGACTGACAACTCATGGGGCCCCCAGGCAATATGGGATCATGGGGCCCCTGTGTCCTTGCCCAAACTCAAAAAAAACCTATGAAAAAGGTACCAGGGGCATCTCATGGGGCCCCCTACTGACCCCGGGCCCTCAGGCAGTGCCCGAGTTTCCAAGTGGTCAGTCCGCCCCTGGCTGTGACCATTGATCACTGCTGTATGTTGGGGGGGGGGGTCAAATCATTCCTAGTCCATGGCTGGAGGGGGTCAGCAACACTGAGCGGCCACTTTCATATGCAGAGCTCAGTACAGCCCCGATGTAGGGAGGGGTTAGAGCGTCTGTCTTGTTTTGCTGCTTCCTGTGTCCCCTCTTGGGAGATTTCTTCTCACTTCCTGTACTGAAGAGAAGGGGGGGGAGGGAGAAATAAGGTGAGGTGCCAGCATCCAACTTTTCTGGCAAATGACAGAATTCCTACCTATGTCCCCATATGGCCTAGTTTATGCTTGCTTTGCTATCTGAAGAGCGATCCGCATTTCCATTGCTCTCCAGAGCATCGCCTCTCTGCCACCTGTTTTAACCCCCTAAGTGCTGGACTGCCATGCTGCAATCTTTTGCATTGTAGGTGGTTGCAGTGAGGCCCCGAAAGCTACAGGGGGTAGCCTCTGCAACTAAAGGGGGAGCTGTTGAGGGGTGGTAATAATGGCTCAACCATGGCGTTTTAATGTCAGTCCGCCCCTGTGCCAAGCAGTGGCTGTAATCCCCGCCGTGGCCACGACATATGCCACGACGCCCCAAGCGATTGGGGGGAACTCAGCTGCAGAGTTGTACCCCCCCCCCCCATCGTGTGAACGATTACTGAACCATGTCTATAGACCTGTGGGGCTGCAATGTTAGAGTTCTGGTGGGCAGCTGGGAAGAGGTGGTAAAACTGTGGCTCAGCTGGTTTACCATCTCTGAGCTACCCACATGAAAGTGCCATAAAGCCAAACTTCAAACTGCTGAGCCTGTTCCATGCAGTCGGGTCTCAGGTCCCCCCCCCCCCCCCCCCCCCAACACTGCAGGAATGAAATGCTCATGTGAACGGGCTGCCCTATACTGCGCGGGAAACAGCGCGCAAAAAAAAAAAAACGCACATTGCAGCGATACTAGCAGGGGCGGACTGACCATTTGGAAACTCGGGCACTGCCCGAGGGCCCGGGGTCAGTAGGGGGCCCATGAGATGCCCCTGGTACCTTTTTCATAGGCTTTTTTGAGTTTGGGCAAGGACACAGGGGCCCCATGATCCCCTATTGCCCGGGGGCCCCATGAGTTGTCAGTCCGCCCCTGGACACTACATATGATGGGGCCTTCAAAAATAGCAGGCAGCCAATGAGCTTTAAAAATTAAAAAGTAATGAGAGGAATGCAGAGGCTGCCACTCTACAAATGCCTGCTGGGGGCAGTGCTGAGTCACAACCAGACCAGCCAAGCACCCAAAAGGACTGGAGCAAAGGTTGCCATGACAGTCAGGCAGGTGGTGGTGTGTGACGTCACACTGCCATGGCATCGACAGGTCTCCTTCATGTTATTACTTACTGAGGGGAGGGGTGTTCTTCCTGGAGGGCTGCTGACGTCAACCCTTGCCCCTCCCTCCACGCACAGGCTGAGGATCGTGCTTAGAGACAGGGGATTCATCCCAGCGGCCGGGCTCCGCCCCCAGAATGCACCGTGCCAACCAACATGGCGGCGCCCATTGAGAGACAGCGTGCCGGTCCCATGGCCGGTTTCCCGCTGCCTGTGCCCGTGGGGAAGCCGGTGGAGGACAGCCAGGGGACAGAGGAGAAGGGGAAGAAGCCGTGCCGGGCATGTGTGGACTTCCGGAGCTGGTTGAAGGAGCAGAGGAGGCACAGTGCGGCTCCCCAGGTGAGGAGGAAGACGGACCAGGGGAAGGACATTCACCTTCATTTACAGCAGTGGTCTCCAAACTGTGGCCCTTTGCTTGTTTTTATCCGGCTCTTGGCCATACACAGCAACAGTGGGACATCGTTCCTGGCGCTGACAACAATGGGGCACTATCCCCCCCCCCCCCTGACACCAATGATGGGGCCCCTATTCCCCCCACTGACACCAATGATGGGGCCCTATTCCCCCCACTGACGCCAATGATGGGGCCCTATTCCCCCCCCACTGACGCCATGATGGGGCCCTATCCCCCCCCCCCCCCACTGACGCCAATGATGGGGCCCTATCCCCCCCCCCCCACTGACGCCAGTGATGGGGCCCTATCCCCCCCCCCACTGACGCCATGATGGGGCCCTATCCCCCCCCCCCCACTGACGCCAATGATGGGGCCCTATATCCCCCCCCCCCCACTGACCCCCCCACTGACGCCAATGATGGGGCCCTATTCCCCCCCCCCACTGATGGGGCCAATGATGGGGCCCTATCCCTATCCCCCCCCCCCCACTGACGCCAGTGATGGGGCCCTATCCCCCCCCCCACTGACGCCAGTGATGGGGCCCTATCCCCCCCCCACTGACGCCAGTGATGGGGCCCTATCCCCCCCCCCACTGACGCCAGTGATGGGGCCCTATTCCCCCCACTGACGACGCCAGTGATGGGGCCCTATCCCCCCCCCCACTGACGCCAGTGATGGGGCCCTATCCCCCCCCCCCACTGACGCCAATGATGGGGCCCTATTCCCCCCCCCCACTGACGCCATTGATGGGGCCCTATCCCCCCCCCCACTGACGCCAATGATGGGGCCCTATCCCCCCCCCCACTGACGCAGTGATGGGGCCCTATCCCCCCCCCCCACTGACGCCAGTGATGGGGCCCTATCCCCCACTGACCCCCCCCCCCCACTGACGCCAGTGATGGGGCCCTATCCCCCCCCCCACTGACGCCAGTGATGGGGCCCTATCCCCCCCCCCACTGACGCCAGTGATGGGGCCCTATCCCCCCCCCCACTGACGCCAGTGATGGGGCCCTATCCCCCCCCCCACTGACGCCCCAGTGATGGGGCCCTATCCCCCCCCCCACTGACGCCAGTGATGGGGCCCTATCCCCCCCCCCACTGACGCCAGTGATGGGGCCCTATTCCCCCCCCCCCCCACTGACGCCAGTGATGGGGCCCTATCCCCCCCCCCACTGACGCCAGTGATGGGGCCCCTAATCCCCCCCCCATCCCCCTATCCCCCCACTGACGCCAGTGATGGGGCCCTATCCCCCCCCCCCACTGACGCCAGTGATGGGGCCCTATCCCCCCCCCCCACCGCACTGACGCCAGTGATGGGGCCCTATCCCCCCCCCCCCCACTGACGCCAGTGATGGGGCCCTATCCCCCCCCCCCACTGACGCCAGTGATGGGGCCCTATCCCCCCCCCCCCCACTGACGCCAGTGATGGGGCCCTATCCCCCCCCCACTGACGCCAGTGATGGGGCCCTATCCCCCCCCCCCCCCACTGACGCCAGTGATGGGGCCCTATCCCCCCCCCCCCCCCACTGACGCCAGTGATGGGGCCCTATCCCCCCCCCCCACTGACGCCAGTGATGGGGCCCTATCCCCCCCCCCCCCCACTGACGCCAGTGATGGGGCCCTATCCCCCCCCCCACTGACGCCAGTGATGGGGCCCTATCCCCCCCCCCCCCACTGACGCCAGTGATGGGGCCCTATCCCCCCCCCCACTGACGCCAGTGATGGGGCCCTATCCCCCCCCCCACTGACGCCAGTGATGGGGCCCTATCCCCCCCCCCACTGACGCCAGTGATGGGGCCCTATCCCCCCCCCCACTGACGCCAGTGATGGGGCCCTATCTGACGCCCCTATCCCCCCCCCCACTGACGCCAGTGATGATGGGGCCCTATCCCCCCCCCCCACTGACGCCAGTGATGGGGCCCTATCCCCCCCCCCCACTGACGCCAGTGATGGGGCCCTATCCCCCCCCCCACTGACGCCAGTGATGGGGCCCTATCCCCCCCCCCCACTGACGCCAGTGATGGGGCCCTATCCCCCCCCCCCCCCCCACTGACGCCAGTGATGGGGCCCTATCCCCCCCCCCCCACTGACGCCAGTGATGGGGCCCTATCCCCCCACCCCCCCCAGTCCCCCCCCCCCACTGACGCCAGTGATGGGGCCCTATCCCCCCCCCCCACTGACGCCAGTGATGGGGCCCTATCCCCCCCCCCCACTGACGCCAGTGATGGGGCCCTATCCCCCCCCCCCCCCACTGACGCCAGTGATGGGGCCCTATCCCCCCCCCCCCCCCACTGACGCCAGTGATGGGCCCCCCCCCCCCCACTGACTGACGCCAGTGATGGGGCCCTATCCCCCCCCCCACTGACGCCAGTGATGGGGCCCTATCCCCCCCCCCCACTGACGCCAGTGATGGGGCCCTATCCCCCCCCCCACTGACGCCAGTGATGGGGCCCTATACCCCCCCCCCCACTGACGCCAGTGATGGGGCCCTATCCCCCCCCCCCCACTGACGCCAGTGATGGGGCCCTATCCCCCCCCCCCCACTGACGCCAGTGATGGGGCCCCTATCCCCCCCCCCCACTGACGCCAGTGATGGGGCCCTATCCCCCCCCCCCCCCACTGACGCCAGTGATGGGGCCCTATCCCCCCCCCCCCCCACTGACGCCAGTGATGGGGCCCTATCCCCCCCCCCCACTGACGCCAGTGATGGGGCCCTATCCCCCCCCCCCCCACTGACGCCAGTGATGGGGCCCTATCCCCCCCCCCCCACTGACGCCAGTGTGATGGGGCCCTATCCCCCCCCCCCCCCACTGACGCCAGTGATGGGGCCCTATCCCCCCCCCCCCCACTGACGCCAGTGATGGGGCCCTATCCCCCCCCCCCCCACTGACGCCAGTGATGGGGCCCTATGGGGGCCCCCCCCCCACTGACGCCAGTGATGGGGCCCTATCCCCCCCCCCCCCCCCCCCACTGACGCCAGTGATGGGGCCCTATCCCTATCCCCCCCCCCCCACTGACGCCAGTGATGGGGCCCTATCCCCCCCCCCCACTGACGCCAGTGATGGGGCGCTATGCCCCCCCCCACTGACGCCAGTGATGGGGCGCTACAGTGATCCCCCCCCCCCCCCACTGACGCCAGTGATGGGGCGCTATTCCCCCCCCCACTGACGCCAGTGATGGGGCGCTATTCCCCCCCCACTGACGCCAATGATGTTTTCTACATAAAAACTAATTCTTGCTGGTATAACTTTAATATACAAGTAGATGAAGATTTTTAGAATAACTTTTCATATTAGTTTTTTTATCCCCAGTTTAATAGGTTAATCATTCATATTTGGACAACTTTTCTGTTGTATTTAGGAAGGAGAAAAATAATCATTACCTTAATAATAACAATTTAAATAGATTTATTCAACTGAAACAATAACATTCCAGCATATGTGATTTGCTTAAACATCCATGTTTGTTAACTAATTTGGCTAAACAAAATATATATATTTGAAGAAACTTAGACTGTCAGCCCCTCCCCCTCACACTTAGTTTCACTTTCTTCTTGTGCAGATCTATTCCACTCCAAACAATCAGAAAAATATTGTTTCTATTCTATTCACTGAACTTCTTGAAACTTAGCACTGAAGGGGTTGATTCTGTATTCATAGGTTTGTAGAAGTTAGGATGAAGGTCTTTTTCTTAACTCTGTTCATGTTATAACATTTTTGCTGTGAAGAAGAGGCATGTGATCTCCCGCTGAGTCAAATTCAGTTTTGAGAACTGCAAAAAAGTAAACCGAGCATCTGTGATAATATCTTGTAGGCAGAGAAACTGCCCAATAATCTTACACAAACCTCTGGAAGAGCATGACATTGTGAATGGATTCATGGAATTTATTTACCAAAAAAATTAAACATATACAGCCTTATTCTACATAATTAAAAAAAAACTAATCTTTATTTCATGATGGAATAACCTTTGGATGGTAATATATTTTTCCTCAAAAAGCATTTTATTTAAAAAAAATCCGATTTAAATATAAAAAAATCCGATTTTATTTTATTTTTAAAAATCATTGATTTTTTATCCACCCTGCTCTTTCCCCCCCCCCCATCACCCCATATATAGAGGACATTCTCCACCCCCCCCCCCCATCACCCTGTAAACAGAGGACACCTCTCCCTCATTATCCTGTATATAGAGGACACTCCAAACCCCCCCCCCCAATCACCCCGTATATAGAGGACATTCTCCCCCCCTCATCACCCTGTAAATAGAAGACCTTACATCCTCATTACCCCATATATAGAGGACATTTCTCCCCCATCACCCTGTATATAGGGGACACCTTCCCCCCCCGCCATTTCCTTGTGTATAGAGAACATTGCCCCCCCATCACCCCTTAAATAGAGGACATTTCTTCCTCATTACCCTGTATATAGAGGACTCTTTCCCCCCCCTTTCCCCTCATTACCCCATATATAGAGAACAATGCCCCCCTCATCACCCTTTATATAGAGGCCTTCCCCCTTCATTATCCAATTTATAGGGGACTCCCCCTCCACCATTGACTCGTGTGGAGGGGATATTAGTCCTTTCCGCAGACATGAGTCCAGATCTCAATCCCATAGAGCACCTGTGGAGAGATCTCAAAACAGCAGTTAGGAAAAGGAACCATTCCAATCTGAGAGACCTGGAGCAGCTGGAGTAGGAAGAGTGGTCCAAAATTCCAGTAAAGAGGTGGAAGAAATTAATTGATGGTTACAGGAAGCAATTGATTTGTTATTTTTTTCCAAGGGGTGTGCACCAAATATTAAATTAAAGGTGCCAATAATTTTGTCCAGTCCATTTTTGGGGTTTTGCATGGAATGTGTCAGATTTGACTTTTTTTATTTCTCCACTTTTTTGGGTCATACCAATACAAACAAAAGAAATAAACATGAGAATGCCTAAACATTTGCAATTGCAACAATTTTCTAGGCCAAGTGGTACGTTGTCTGACAAAAAAGCAGGGGTGCCAATATTTTTGGCCATAACTGTATATAGATAGAATATATGGCTGTATCCTTTCTGTAGGGGTGATGTCTGGAGATGGCATCAGTCGCTGCAGGCCAGCCGTGGGGAGGGGTCACACATTGCCAAGATTAGTTAGATATAAAAAAATCATGTCTTTAAAAAAAAATGTTTTTATTTTAGGAAGTAGACATTGGGGAGAAGGATCGACCCCCGGAGTGTCCATTAGACCGGGAGGATCTCGGCCGAAGTACCTGGTCCTTCTTGCATACAATGGCTGCCTACTACCCAGACAGTCCCAGCACTAAGCAGAAAGAAGAAATGAAAAGCTTCATTAACCTATTTTCCAAATTCTATCCCTGTGAGGAATGTGCGGGAGGACCTAAGAGAGAGGTTTGTTCTTTTTCTTTTTTTCTTTTTACACTTTGCAGATCAGTTTCACAGCATACAACAGAACTTTTTTTTTTTTTTTTTTTAATATCTTCAGAAATAATTCATTGCTGAACTCCAGGCAAATGGTTGTATACACAATGAAATTCATATAAGGGACATTTTATACCTACCAAAGTACTGGTTTCTTGTCTATCCAATCCTGGGATTCTTAGATCACCTGGAGTTTAGTAGTTTCTGCCCTGGCCTCTTATACTGTTTCTCAGCTCCTGAGAGTACATAACAGTACAAATAACAGTATCAAATCACACAACTCTGCTTTGTATAGGTAATGAGTTTACATGCCACAATAAGCAGGTAGGTTTATTTATTGCACAAGAGACATTGCATATGTTTCCTGTCAATACATTTTGTGATGTTGCCTTTAGTTCCACATTTAATGCAGTAGGAAGAGATAAGGTCTCCTCAACTGTCAGGCTTGTGTGGCATGGCAGAGCTGTGTACATTTCAGAAATAGATGGACATAAATAAAAATCCTTTGGTGGGTAAACCAGCTCCCATATAAGCATGTATATTTACAGTGAAGGAAATAAGTATTTGACCCCCGGCTGATTTTGAATGTTTGCCCACTCACAAAGAAATGATCAGTCTAAAAAAATCGAATGGTAGGTGTATTGTAACACTGAAAGACAGAATAGCAACAAGAAATTCAAAAGAAATGCATGTCTAACAAATGATGACTGATTTGCATTTTCATGAGGGAAATAAGTATTTGATCCCCTTCGCAAAACATGACTTGGTGGCAAAACCTTTGTTGGCAATCACAGAGGTCAGACGTTTCCTGTAGTTGGCCACCAGGTTTGCACACATCTCAGGAGGGATTTGGGCCCACTCCTCTTGGCAGATCCTCTCCAAGTCTTTAAGGTTTGGTGGCTGGCGTTTGGCAACTCGAACGTTCAGCTCCCTCCACAGATTTTCAATCGGATTAAGGTCTGGAGACTGGCTAGGCCACTCCAGGACCTTAATGTGCCTTTTCTTGAGCCACTCCTTTGTTGCCTTGGCGGAGTGTTTTGGGTCATTGTCATGCTGGGACACCCATCCACGACCCATTTTCAATGCCCTGGTTGAGGGAAGAAGGTTCTCACCCAAGATTTGATGGTACATTGCCCCATCCATCGTCCCTTTGATGCGGTGCAGTAGTCTTGTTCCCTTAGCAGAAAAACACCCCCAAAGCAGAATGTTCCCACCACCATGTTTGACAGTTGGGATGGTGTTCTTGGGGTCATAGGCAGCATTCCTCCTCCTCCAATCACAGCAAGTTAAGTTGATGCCAAAGACCTTGATTTTGGTCTCATCTGACCACAATACTTTCAACCAGTCCTTCTCTGCATCATTCAGATGTTCAGTGGCAAACTTCAGGCGGGCCTGGACATGTGCTTTCTTGAGCAGGGGGACCTTGCGGGCACTGCAGGATTTCAATCCTTGTCGGCGTAGTGTGTTACCAATTGTTTTCTTGGTGACTGTGGTCCCAGCTGCCTGGAGATCATTGACAAGATCCTCACGTGTAGTTCTGGGATGATTCCTCACTGTTCTCATGATCATTGACACTCCACGAGGTGAGATCTTGCATGGTGCACCAGACCTAGGGAGACTGACACTTGTTCTGTGTTTCTTCCATTTCCGAATGATTGCACCAACTGTTGTCACCTTCTCACCAATGCTTGGCAATAGTTTGGTAGCCCAGTTCAGCCTTGTGTAGGTCTACAATCTTGTCCCTGACATCCTTGGACAGCTCTTTGGTCTTTGCCATGCTGGAGAGTTTGGAATCTGATTGTTGGATTGCTCCTGTGAACAGGTGTCTTTTATACAGGTAACACAATGAGATTGGCATTTAAGAGACTGCTTCTAATCTCAGCTTGTTACCTGTATGAAAGACACCTGGTAGCCAGAAATCCTGCTGGATGATAGGGGATCAAATACTTATTTCCCTCATGAACATGCAAATCAGTGCATCATTTGTTAGACATGCATTTCTTTTGAATTTTTTGTTGCTATTCTGTCTCTCTGTGTTACAATACACCGAACATTCGATTTTTAGACTGATCATTTCTTTGTGAGTGGGCAAACAATCAAAATCAGCAGGGAATCAAATACTTATTTCCTTCACTGTAGCTGTTTGTCTGACATTCATCTTTATTTAAGCAAAACAATGACCAATGTGAATTTCCTATTTCCAGGCTAACTACCACTCAGCCTGACACAAGCAGCAGACATAACCTGTCACAGTGGATGTGTATGCTTCATAATGATGTCAACAGGAAGCTGGGCAAGGAAGAATTTGACTGTTCCAAGGTGGACGAGAGGTGGCGTGATGGCTGGAAGGACGGATCCTGCGATTGACGGACATTTCTTGTCCAGATCTTTAGAACAGCGTATACGTTTTCTACAGATACCAGTACTTAGCCCTAACTTATGTCAGCTTTAGTTCAGTTGTGACCTTTATGCTGTTCTGGAATGTACCTACCTGTGTGCAGCTTTTGCCAACAGTTGGCTTGTTTAATGCTTTTTATGTTATTTTTCTAAACATAAGAGAAGTAACAATGATTTGTAATCGTTAATTATATTACAGTACTGATAAAGCACCTCAGTAATCAGCTGTGACAGTTAATTGATATATATGATTGATGGTTGCAAAAATCATCAATTTCCTGGAAAAATTAATTCTTTAAAGTGCCCTTGTTCTGTAACGAAACAGGAACATAAGCCGCAGAAAGAGTTAAAAACAATATTTATTACCCATATTATGACCGCAGTAAGCATCCCTGCTTCCTCATATGCATCTGTTGGTGCCTAGGTGCGGGGCTCTTCTTCCTCGTAACATCGATGGTGGCTGAGCTTAGCTTGTGCTGTGTGTGTTACACTCAGATCTGAATCCCCTGCTTCGCACAGTAAAATTCCCTGCTGCATGATGTTTGATCTGTAGCGGTAACATAGATATAAAGTTTGTGCACTTGGGAACCTGCTATGATTATTTCTATGTTGTTAGTAGCTATAGAAGAGAACCTGGAAAGCCAGGACACAAGTTGGGAAATCATGGCCTAGTAATTGCAGTGGTTGCAGATTTGAAGCCTCAGACAAGCGATTGTTTGGCTCAGGGCAGACTCAGAATTCAGAGTGGATGGAGGAATCCCCCTGCCTGCTGCTGTATTCAGACAGATGAAGCACTTGGGGTTGTTAGAATACCCAAAAAGTGCATCTAAATGGCTGCATTCGCAGTTCGGCCAACACTTTTCCATCTGGCTCCCTGGCTCTTTCTATTTTTTTTTTTTTTTTTTGTTCAAATTTATTTTTTTTTTCTAATTGAAATTTGTGGTGCTGACAGGGCCACCTGCAGAGAACATTTTGGTTGATTTAGCAGGAATTGACCAAAATTTGAGCCACGTTTTGGATAACTTTAGTTTAACAAAACTGCAGTTATTTCAGTCCATATTGGGTGCATTACCATTTGTCGATGGCAAGAGAAATATCCAGCTTTGTAAATAGTATTTATTACCTATCTTGTTTCTTTATGCCTGTACAGGATTTACATTTGTGTCCAGTGATGATTGTCAGTGTTTACAATGAGATGACTGTGGACAGTGGTGCACACAGAATGTTCTGACTGTATGCTGAGAACAGTTGGTAGATCCAAAGGATGCATGTATGTGTTTTTTTTTGTTTTTTGTTTTTTTTTAAGGTCTTCATGGTATTGTCTTAAGTTTTCCTAAAGGCAGTTATCAAATTTAACTCGGCACAGCCAGAAAACCGACCATTATGGAATGGATATGCTCTCAGTTCTTGAACTGATATTGGGTGTAATGAATAATAGCCTTTACAGGTATAAGAGACCAAACTTTATGGCCATTCATCTTCCCCGGTTGGCCCTCCCCTTGTGGTTGATATTTACCAAAGCCCCATGAAATATTCAGGCTTATGAAAGTACGTGACCTTTTCCCTTCCATGGGTGTCTATTGCAGTGCTGGGTGCCAAAGCGACCATTCACCAGGCCCAAGCCTTGCCAGAAGTGGGGCACTGTGTCCTAAACCTGTGTTAACTCTGACTTAGAGTTGACCTGGAATTTACAGAGGGGTCTTCAGCAGAGCATAAGAGACCAAATTTAAAGGTAAAGGGCTAGCTATAGACAAAACGTCTTACTTTGCCCTGAATGCACATATAACAGGGTCTCTCTAACATAACTACAGTTATATCTAAAAGCCTGCATTCTTCCCCACCCCATCATCCTGATCAGAATTCTGAAGGGAGTAACGGACCAATAAAACCAGATCCATACTGCCTGGGCCTGATATAGGAAAATGACAACCATTTCAGAGTCCAAGAGAAGCAGACACATTGCCTGTTGGCTAAATGATCCTTCTCCTTCTAATTCCTTCCCCTCGTAGCCGATTATATTCTACCACAAAGCTGTCCTGCACATTATTGCTAAACCCATTTTGCACATGCCCTACCCCTTGAGAAAATGGCATCACTATGCACTGTAAGTGGATGTTCCCCATTTACAATCCACTGAAGACTAGTATAGTTCTGTTTTCTCCGGCCCACATGGCTCTAAATCCTATGATATTACCGTTCAAATTTTACATAGTTAAAACCTAATGCTGAGCTCTGGGCTCCCCTTGCCTGCCAGTGTGCCATAGACACTTGCTATTGGCTGTCTAGTGAACCAAATGCAATATCTCCTGCGCTCCGGGACCCAGGCCGGTGGTGAGTAGATGGAATCAAACTCCAAAAAGGAAGGGACCACCGGAATAGACAAGGTCGTGCAGCTCCACACCAAGGCTGGGGAAGCCCAAACAAAACTGTGAAGGAGAACAACAAAAGAGAAGCGCACCGACCTTGCGCATTACCTCAGTAACCAAAATTTATTAAATAAAAGAATGGTACTCACAAACAGCGAATAAAAACAAGCATGTAAGTCCTCAAAGGGACTTAAGAGGCAAGATGCCAATGCGAATCCCATCATGGAGGAAGCCACTCAGTACAGCTGACGTGTTTCGAAGGACATGCCTTCTTCCTCAGAGCTCTGAGGAAGAAGGCATGTCCTTCGAAACGCGTCAGCTGTACTGAGTGGCTTCCTCCATGATGGAATTCGCATTGGCATCTTGCCTCTTAAGTCCCTTTGAGGACTTACATGCTTGTTTTTATTCGCTGTTTGTGAGTACCATTCTTTTATTTAATAAATTTTGGTTACTGAGGTAATGCACAAGGTCCGTGCGCTTCTCTTTTGTTGTTCTCCTTCACAGTATTGGCTGTCTAGTGGCAGGGTTCTTTCAGGATCCAGTGAAGACGTCTGCAGCAATTACATCAGCACAAGGGAGCTGTCAGGGACTGGCTGGAACACATCTGCAGCTCTGGATTAGTGGACTTAGATAAGCATGAGCTCTAAAAGGAGTTGTGATCTGTATTACTACTGAATTATTCAGTCCTATCATTGTGGACCAAATAGCTGATTGCCATGTACCTCATTAATGCCAGATTATTGCATGCGTTCTCTTTAATGGTGACAAAATGGCTGTCTCCACAGTGTGGAAGCAAAATGCCCTTTGTAGGTGAGCTCAGTTAGCACCTGTACATCTGAGAACTGTCTGTATCCAAATTACTGCAACTTAAAGCGGAGTTCCACTCACACTATCAAAAAATAAGTCAGCAGCTACAAAAACTGTAGCTGCTGACTTTTAAAAAACCAGTCACTTACTTGTCCCGTGGTGTGTCCCCTGCAGCCCGTTTCACCGCCGTCCTGTATTCCAGGAGGCCGGCATCTTCACCTGGCTGTGATAGCTTGCGGCTTCACAGCCGGGTACCCACTGCGCTGTGCTTCATGAATGGTCCTGTAGTATTCTGGGACCTGTCACGTGTTCCAAAAAACTACAGGGAGGGGGAGGACACCTTCCGCTTAGGCAATCGGACCGGAAGTGGGAGCGGGTACCTGTCAAATTTGGGTACCCGCTCCCCGTCCCCCAAATGTGCCAATCCTTAATGGGGAGCAGTCCTTAAAGCGGAACTTCCCCTTTTTGGGTGGTGCTCCGCTTTGTTACCCTGCCTTTTTTTTTTTTGGTTTCTTATAAAATATATATGTGTTTTGCCTTTCGTTTCCATTTTAAACCTGAATGGGTTGTTTTACAAGCCGAGGGTTCACATATACTTTAAAGTATTTCCTAATTTCGGGATCCCACAGAACCCCATAGCAGACTTTTGATTTTAATGTGCACCTCAAATGCCAGAACTTAAAGTGTATCTGTGCCAAGACTATGAACATTCAATTATTTACGTATTCTTCGCAAGCAGTAAAATAAAAAAGCCCTAACTCAAGCAAACCCTGATCTGTCTAGATGCAGGTAATTCATTCCTAAAGATCACAAGAAGATTCCAAAGTTAGTTTTTAGTCTATTTCTAGCAGCTTACAAATACTTGGCTGTGAGTTTGTATTAGATTGCAGTCAGGCTGCCAAGATTCTGCAGCAATAAAAGTAATGGGAAAATTTCAGTGCCTTTCTTATGAACTTTGAAGACACATTTCTCAACAATGCTTAAAGCTACAGATGTGATTGAGAGCTGGTTTTATAAGTGCTTTGGCTGCTTGTTCAGAATATATGAATTAGTGTGCGTAGTCTGGTTCACTTTAAGGAGGCAGAATGTGCTTTGGTATTTGACAGAATGACAGGATGGGCTTAGAATCTTAAGTTTTTAGGTAAAATTTGTAAACCGCAATTAGTACAAAGGGATGTTGTTTACATTTAATGTGAAGTGTCCCTTGTGCTGGTACCGGCTGTCATAGTAAAAATCTGAAGTCCTCTGCCTCGTTCCTATACCTTCCAGCAATAAATGTCAGGTGCTGCGAGGGTTAAAATCATTTACAGCTTTAAGATGATGTAAAATTGTCCCATACTTAGGCTTGTGTTTGCTTCTTCTCATTATGGTATTAATTTAATGTATGTTAACAAAGTTATTGGTTCCAGGGTTTATATTTTTTTCCTCCTTTGGTGTGATTTGCAAATTAATTTGCATTTTTTTATATATTATATATATATATATATATATATATATATATATATATATATATATAATTATGCTTCTGTGATTCTTAGATCATTATTTGAGATTCCTCCAGGGCAGAGATGGTGGATATCGTTTTATAAAAGGTTTTGTAAAAAGCGGTCTGTGTTGCTGTTGGCGACAAATCAGCTTTGTGCTTCTATGTTCCAACCTACTCAAGATTGAAACATATTTCTTGGATATGTGAAATAGAAGCTGGTTATTGCTCTCTCTGTTAAGCCAGCAAACACCAACAAGTAGTGGTGCACCAAAATGAAAATTCTGGTGCCAAAACCGAAAGTTTAAAATGCA